TCTAATCTCTCTTTCACTCTTTCTCATTACATTTCACTTTTTTCTTTCTTTCTTTTTCGCCTATTAAAAAAAAAGCCACAGATGATGAAGAAGCTAAGATACTAATATTCAGATGTTCAGTTCTGCTTTCTACTGAAGTGGCAAAAAAATAAATAAAAAGAAAGAAAGAAAAAAGAGAATCAGCCTCATTACACTGTGTGAACAAGACATTATTTACAGAACCATGCATAATTCACAGGCAGGGACGCTGCAAACACAATACAGAACTGGTGACTGTTTGTCCCTAAAACAGGGATCTGTTTCAACTCTGCTAAGATTGTATTCAATCTAAAGACATCACATTATCATAAAAAATAAAACAGCTAGAATAGTTAACTTAGTAGTTTATTTATTTAAAAAATCTTAATTAAAATGTTTGTGATTTATAATTCTCTGCATGTCTTCTTTTTTTTTTTTTTAAACCACACACTTTAAAGTGCAACACAAACATTTTTTAGGGAACAAAATTAACCTCAGGGTTAATTTGCCTAAAATTACATTAGTTTTTTACAGAGGTGAACAAAGGCATGTACAGGTTTCAACAAAGAAATATGGGAGATGTTAGGCATTCCTGCAGCATAGCACAAAGGTGAAATTTTAATTATTGTCAGGTTAATGTGACACTTAAAACTAAACTCTTTCTGATTTCATCCCTAAGAAATAAAAAATACCTGTTGCATATCAACAAAAAGCAATCATCCATCTGAAATGTCTCTTCTTACGAACCATGCAATCACATCACTAAAACCACGTAGCAGTTGAGAGGTAAACMCATTTATTGCAGCATTAATGTTGTTTTGTGGCTGTGAGACATGAGCAATAAAAGCTCACTAGATAGAGACATAAATGGATTTTTTTATTGTGCTAATATCCAGGTAGCCGGATAAAGAAGTCATCTTTTTTATGTCAGACAAGGTGGGATTTGCCCTACATTTGATAACGGATAAAAGTGTGCATTCTTATATACATGCATGTGTAGACACACAAACCAATACATATTCATTATTCTTCTATGTGGCCTGTGGTCTCTTGTGACGGCAGAATAAGGATTCAATATTTCCACGAAATGCAACACTCTCATCCTACTTTCTGCTTTTCCTGAGATGTGCTCATCCTCTGAGGCCCAACCAGCTAGCCCCCCCACCACCCCCACCCCACCATCTAAACCACACATATAATGATGGCCCCCCAGCCCCCATGAGAAATGGTGATGAAACAACCCCTTCTCAGCTGCTCAAAATAGGAGAACTGCAGTTTCCATAGGAACAGATCTAAAAGCAATTACGGATGACACGCAGAATGAAGCTTGATGAGCCATCATCCAGGATGGCGCTCAGAATTCCACCTAAGATGTCACAGAGTCCCACTTGGGTTCTCGGGTGTCTTTATTTTACTACTTTTTTCTGTTTGTTTCCTCTGCTTCCACTTCCTGGTTCAGTTTCACTCTCAGAAACAGGAAATGGGATGTTGATAAAAATGGCGTTTTAGGCCCAGACTGAGATTTTGAGATTATTTGAGAATTTTTTTAATTACAACAATAAAATCATAACAGTATGAGGAAAAAAGTTGTACAAGAATAAAGTTAAAATATTACAGTTATACAGTCATATTACCAGAATAAAATACTATCATTGGGAACTCTTAAGTGAAAAAACAGAGCTACCACTCTTAAAATGAGGAATGTTGATTATCTTGTGAAGGTGTTTGATTTTTGTTTTTACAAATAAATAAATACTTAATCTTTTAACACATCAGCATAAAATTATTATCAGTATCAGGTCTGTCAGCGCCGGTGTCCAGCATACGCAGGAGTAGGGCATCAAGTTATCAGCGGAGCACCAGAAAATGTGCTTCATAAAAAAGTCATCTTGACAGCAAAAACTTTAAAGCATGTTTAGATAGCCTGTAAGAAATACAAAACTAACGTATTTGCTCAAGAAAACATTGAATCTATGCTGTGTAAAGAGGCCTCTTCACCAGTTTTCCATTGTGCCCACCCCAATCTCTCAAAGTGGTACGTTCCATTGGAGTTACACAGGTGAGCCGCGAACAGACCAACAGAGCCTGAAGACATGAAGAGAAGAGACAGATGATGCTCGTGCGGCATTTGCAGGTAGGATGATGTTTAAATAACAACTGAATACTTTGGAATTTGTCACATTTAACCTGTGCATGCTCATGTCAGGTCACCACTGTTAGCAAACTGTTAGCGCCAGGTTAGCTAGATAAGGCTGCCACTACTAGTGGTGTTCAGATTGCTAAGTAGCTAGCTAGGCTAGGCTACTTATGAGGTGTCCTCCTTTAGAAAAACTCTGATAAAGCTCTTATTGCTTGCTTGACTTCAATATACCATAAAGCTGAGGAAATTTTGAATGAAAATTGAAAATTGAGAATTTTTTTTAAAATAAGGAGAAGTGCGCTGGCAAATACTGAATTATTTTTCATTTCTGGGAGGGGGAGGGCACCACAAAACAGTTTCGCTTAGGGCACTCATGACGAGCACCAGGCCTGAGGTCTGTGTTTATTTTGTACAAAGAACCACACAAACTTCTTTGCTTTTATGGAACAGGAGCTGCCTGGTAGTGGTAAAATCGGTTTTGTTGTTTTGAGGATGGTCATCAAGATTTTAACACCAGAGGGAGTGGAAATCTGGCAAACATGTCGTCTCCGCCCATGGGGCCCAACATGGCAAATGAAATATGATTGAGGCGTTTTGGTGATTTTCACCTCATGCCTCCCCGTGTATCTGGCAACGCCGATTGAACGCACCTGCAAGGAACTTGCTCATCACTGCTGGTTTTAAAAGGAAGACCTGAGGATCAACTCGTCGCTGAAGCATCAAACCGCTTTTGGTATGATCTCAGCCAGTGACTTGTTTTTGTAAACCTGGTTTAACTAACCTTTGTGTTTTTGTGTACTTACCTGTCTCCAGAAATAAGGAAATCACCTTGGAACTGTTTTGGATCCCAATCACGTCTGCCTGCCTGCCAAGCCTCTCACCTGTTCCATGCGCTGCCTCTTCGCCTCACAATCACCTGTAAATATGACATTCACTCGTAAATATCACGTTTGGATTTTTGGACTCTGGACCTACTTCTCTACGCTAAACCCAAAGCCCTCACCCGTAAGCATAAATTATTATCTATCAAACAGTACTTCTTGGAAATCCTTTACTTACCTCTGCAACTCCTCTACTTCCAGGTCCCGCTCCACACTCCATCCCTGTGTAAATAAACAAATCAATTTTATTATTCAAGTTTCTGTCTCCAGTGTTGTTCTTGGTATTTGCTCACGTTGACTTTAGTAAACCTGATAATGATAAACTGAATCCATATGGTATTGCAGTTAATGGTTGCATGGACGGATTTAGTCATTGCATAAAGTGAATGGAAGCCTATTGCACCAACAGTAACCCAATAGTAATTGCAGACTTTTTTGCACTGCAAGGCTTGGCTTGGGTCGGCCTGGATTCAAACTCGGGTTCAGCGTGTTTGCGTTAACCCTTGTAAACCTGTTCCACTCTGATTTTTGGAACCCAAAGACCCGTGGTTCTATCCAGGCTGCTCGGTCCTGATGTCAGCTACTGTTGCCCATTGAATGGTTGTGTGAGCGAGGGGAGTGGGGTGGATTACATCAAACAAGCCGTGTTTACATCCAATTTTAATTCAAATTTTGAGCGAACTTTTGAATATTTGCAAAAATGTAAAAACGAAGAAATGCCAATCAACTGGCTTGAAGCAAATCAGTTCCGTCAGATGCATGCGTGTAGTAAACAGGAAGTAAAAGTTGCATCTCAGGAAAATGGAGAGAAGTTATCAGAAACATGCTGCTGCTATCGGGAAAGTTGTAATTATTCTGTCATCAACTAGTTTGCCTTTTTTACATGCGGTTGGGAGACGTAGAGGAAGTAATGCAATTCTTTTCACGTTACGGGAATAACTGGGAAGATGCTGAGAGCGGGATGAGGGTCCAGCTGTGAGACACGGCTGCACTCACTCTGGTACCGGGACAGATTTTGGACAGACAGCGGGAACAGCTGATCAACCTGTGAGGTAAATGTTCGCTTCGTCAGAACTGATTCAAAAAATGTGTTTCCATCTCCTTTTTCCGCATTAACTCTTTTTCGAAAAACCCAAAAACCACCTCAAGCGAGCGTATCAACTTTGATGCGAATTAGAGGAATTTTTTTTCGAATCAAGCCGTTTCCATCCACCTTTTCTGATGCAATACTTCAAAATGCGCATTAAAAACCTTGATGGAAACACAGCTACAGCTGAGTGACTTTATGTGAATCATTTGACGCAACTGTAAGGTTTCTTTTCATACAAGTTTAACTACACAACAGCAGTGGCAAGACACCAAGCAGCAGCAGGCTAACATTAGCTTCCATTAGCTTACCGTATTTCATCATCCTGAGTTTTCAGCGTCATACCGCTGAATGGCCCGATACAGCATCCTGCGTCGCAAATAAAACAAAACAAAATTTGTGTGTGTTTAATATTATGGTCCCGCCCATATCGAGGCAGCTCTCTGCTCAATACCAACACAACTAGAATAAAGCCAGGCTGGCTGGAGCAGGGGTGGGCCGGGCCAAGTCACCGCAAAAATGCGTACAGTGCATTTGAGGTTGTCCACAGCAGGTGTGAACCGGCTGGAAAATGGATATGCCTTGTAATATTACTACTCTTTCTTTCACAATACTATGATTCTTTTTTCTTAGAATTAAAAAATAATAATAAATAAATCTCATAGTCTGCCCTTAATACCACACTGTATGATGATGTCCTGGAAAGGAAAAGCTGTTCAGGGCAGGAGGTTTGAGGGCAAAAAAAAGGAGAAAATTAACCAAAAGATGGAGGAAAGTAACAAAATTGAACAATGAGGCGAGCAGAGGAGTGAAGGAGGTGATCGCTGACCCTGTGTTGGGGCTGGAGTCAACGCTCCATTAAGGCTCATCTGCATAATGTTCCTTGTGGCTTCATTAGCGATGTGCAGAGGCAGAGGCAACGTTCTGCCCAGGTACATGTGTGATAGCATCTCCTCTACTTCACCCCGTCCCTGTCCCACATGTCCCCATTGTCGCCTTCCATTTCCAGCCCTCCCACCCACCCACCACCCTTCCCTCACTCCGTTGCATCAAAAAACGTGTGAGCAAGATAAAGCAAACATCTGACAGTTTGCAACCCTCTCCACCTCTCATCCATCATACAGAACTGTTCCCTTGCCCCTCTTTTCCTCCCACCCACCCCTCCGCCCCTCATTTGTTAGTACAACGCTCTGCCTCCCCTTCAGCATATCTCRGCCTGCTCCGAGCTATAAAGCGGAGCCGCGTGTCAGCCGCAGTTTAGAAGAGGACACATCTTGAAGAAATGAGGGGATTTCATCTCTATTCTTCTCCCGTTCTTGCTCCTCGATTCTGATAAGCCCACAAACAGTCGCAGCAGTTGTGACATCGGCGATGAAGGTCACTGATGGATGGCTTGTTGAAAAATATTTATTTTTCTCTATCCTGTAAAGAAAGAAAAAGTAAATGCGAGCGCCATCCATAATGAATCAACGCTCCCCCTAAGAAACACAAATTCATACTAACATCAATCACACTCAACCCCCGTCCTTTGATTCAGTGTCTTGACTTAGTGAATAATGGCTGCTGTAGCAATCAATACATTTCTTGGTAACCAATGTAACTCCCCCAGACACTTGTTGGAATGCTGCACCGCTCTGCTGGATTTCCATTTTCTGCTCAAAACACTCTGTTTGTTGTTACATCTTCTCCCCATCACGCTACCTCTCTACACTCTCCTCCTATTCCGCCCCCCCCGGCTTTGACAGATGTTGCTTTGCGGTGTTTGCAGCCTGATCTGGTCATGAATTCATTTAGCTGCCATTAGAGGCCTCTCCACAGACCCTGCCCAGAGCTCTTCTAAAGCAGGAAACCCATTTAAACGGCATAATTCATAACACGGAGAGCTGTGGTACAGAGTGAAGGAATAATGCGCTTTAATGTTGTCAACTGTGAGTAGACAAATAGCTGGTCATTAACAGACATATCAATTCAAGGGAGATAAAAAAAAAAGTAGACTCATCAGTGTTGTTATCATTAACATAGGATATGCTGTAAGCTGGGTCATTTTAATATCAAAGCATTCTGCCAATGAAATAGCAAATTTGACAGGATTTGTTTTAAAATGTGGGCTTTTAGTTTTCACTTAATGCCTATACGTATGCAAATTCCACTGAACTCTAAATGTGTTATCCAACTTCTCTGGCGTTTTTGGCTCTCAGTGTTTCCCATCAGTCCCATTCTTCTCAAATGCTCTGTCTCAGTTTTAACTTGAATGTGAGTCAGAGAGCAGAGTATGGTTGGGGGTGAAAAACGAGGATGCAAGCCAACATGACTCATGCTTCTTATGTTTGAAGACAAATTTAAAGTTGTTACAAGTGAGGATTCTCTGCTTCGAACTCGATGCTTGGTAATGCCTGAATAAACACCTGGTCCAACACTAATTGTTATGCAAAAACCTGATATGGGTAAGCTGTTAGTCAAATTCACAGGAAACAATTGCAGTAAATTCTGAATAGTTAAAAGATAATACAGCTGGGTGCGAAAGTTTGGGCAGCCTGGTTAATTTTCCTGATTTACTTTCATAAATTATTGATTGTTCGGATAAAAAAAATGTGTTAAATATACAGTGGACAAACTCAATATTTAGTAGATCCTCCTTTCACAGAAACAACAGCCTCTAAATGCTTCCTATAGCTTCCAATGAGAGTCTGGAT